ATCCTTTTGCTCCTATCTCTTCTAGTTTAGCCAGAAAATGGACTTTTATGTTTCCACTCAAAAAATCGAATTTTGGTTGGATTTAGAAGTGATCACAGATTTTCATTCTTTTGCTTTTATCTCTTCTAGTTTAGCCAGAAAATGGACTTTTATGTTTTCACTCAAAAAATCGAATTTTGGTAGGATTTAGAAGTGATCACAGATTTTCATTCTTTTGCTCCTATCTCTTCTAGTTTAGCCAAAAGATGGACTTTTATGTTTTCACTCAAAAAATCCAATTTTGGTAGGATTTAGAAGTGATTACAGATTTTCATTCTTTTGCTCCTATCTCTTCTAGTTTAGCCAGAAAATGGACTTTTATGGTTTCACTCAAAAAATCAAATTTTGGTAGGATTTAGAAGTGATCACAGATTTTAATTCTTTTGCACCTATCTCTTCTAGTTTAGCCAGAAAATGGACTTTTATGTTTTCACTCAAAAAATCGAATTTTGGTGGGATTTAGAAGTGATCACAGATTTTCATTCTTTTGGCCCAAGCTCTTCTAGTTTAGCCAGAAAATGGACTTTTATGTTTTCACTCAAAAAACTGAATTTTGGTAGGATTTAGAAGTGATCACAGATTTTCATTCTTTTGCTCCTATCTCTTGTAGTTTAGCCAGAAAATGGACTTTTATGTTTTCACTCAAAAAATGGAATCGAAGGATTTAGAAGTGATCACAGATTTTCATTCTTTTGCTCCTATCTCTTCTAGTTTAGCCAGAAAATGGACTTTTATGTTTTCACTCAAAAAATCGAATTTTGGTAGGAAATAAAGGTGATCACAGATTTTCATTGTTTTGGCCCCAGCTCTTCTAGTTTAGCCAGAAATTGGACTTTTATGTTTTCACTAAAAAAATCGAATTTTGGTAGGATTTAGAATTGATTACAGATTTTCATTCTTTTGGCCCTAGCTCTTATAGTTTAGCCAGAAAATGGACTTTTATGTTTTCACTCAAAAAACTGAATTTTGGTAGGATTTAGAAGTGATCACAGATTTTCATTCTTTTGCTCCTATCTCTTCTAGTTTATCCAGAAAATGAACTTTTATGTTTTCACTCAAAAAATCCAATTTTGGTAGGATTTAGAAGTGATCAGAGATTTTCATTCTTTTGCTCCTATCTCTTATAGTTTAGCCAGAAAATGGACTTTTATGTTTTCACTCCAAAAATCGAATTTTGGTGGGATTTAGAGGTGATCACAGATTTTCATTCTTTTGCTCCTATCTCTTCTAGTTTGGCCAGAAAGTGGACTTTTATGTTTTCACTCAAAAAATCGAATTTTGGAGGGATTTAGAAGTAATCACAGATTTTCATTCTGTTGCTCCTATCTCTTCTAGTTTAGCCAGAAAATGAACTTTTATGTTTTCACTCAAAAAATCCAATTTTGGTAGGATTTATAAGTGATCACAGATTTTCATTCTTTTGCTCCTATCTCTTCTAGTTTAGCCAGAAAATGGACTTTTATGTTTTCACTAAAAAAATCGAATTTTGGTAGGATTTAGAAGTGATCACTGATTTTCATAGAAAATTACTGATTTTTTTTTATTTTTCGATTGGCTTTTCAGATTTTCTTTGTTGCGTCTATGGGACCCTATTGTTATTGTTTGGTTAAGGGAGGCTTGTGAATATGGTATTTTGGCTTGAGACATAAAGAAATATTTGGCTCTGAAATGTTGGAATTTATGAATGAAGTCAAATGATGTGTTTAAACTTGTTGTTTCTCTATATTTCCTTTCTCCTCAAAGAAGTCTTATTGGTGACCACCATCTTGTATTTATATTTTCACAGTGACTTACCTTTGCTGCCGGCTCAAAATTCATTTCTATATTTCCGCTGATTTAATCATGCTCCAAACATACTTTTATGATTTTTTGTTACTTTAACCGCTTATTAACACTGTTAGACACTTTTTTGTTTAATTTTTAAGCTTTTAATTACAAATTTTTAATTTTTCTTAAAACTTAACAATTTTCACAACTTCTTTAGGTAAAATAAAAAATAAACTAAAAAATACCGCTAATTTTCAACAGGGTGTAACAGAAATATATTATTTGTGATGGAAAACAGCTGTTTTGTTTACATGTGTGTGTGTTTTGACAAAAACAAGTGAAAAGAAGAACAAGCATTTAAATCAAAACAGAAAGCTAAAATAAATGAGATTTATTTATTTCTTTGAACAATCTAAACGTTTTTAAACGTGTTTTTATTATTTTGTTGAAATATTCTAGAATTTTTGTACAAAAATGCATTTAATTCTACAATATTTATGTAATTTTAATGATAAAATTGAAATAAAAGGTGAAATTTTTAGAAAATTAAAGAAAACTGTGTGAATAATAAAGTTTTCCTTTTAGATTTGTGTAATGATTCATTAAAACGTGTTTGGTGTGAAGAATGGAATGTATCCAACCTACAGGATTTGTTAAATAAATGGTTGGCTTGTAAGGAAGCTGCTGAGGATTTGAGCCAGGAACAAATTGAAGATTTATTGCCTGTTGCTGTACAATTATTGTTTGTTTTTGCTCAATACAATTTTACCGGGCCCTTTGATGACTTGAGAGAATTTCAAGAATTTGTGAAAGAAAATTTAAACTTTGTTCCTGATCCTTTTGAAGAATTGAAAGAGAATGGTGAAGAAATCAATCCCAATGTGGTTTTGGGTGAATTTTTAATAGTGGCAAGAGATATTCTAAAGAAATTGTTGAAAGGTCAAGCGGAAACAGTAGTAAGTGAAGGAAAATAAGAAATTTGTTTAAAAATTTATTATAATTCCATTTGTGGAACTTTTTAATTTAATATTTTTCATTATATTGCCCCTATCAGGTCCTCCGCTGGTGGCATTTACGCTATTTATGTCTGCATCAACATTGCATCGATGAATTGACCGCTAATCTTTGGGAACAAGTTAAAAAAGAAGCCGAATGGCTGCTAGAACATCTCACGGAATTGCAAAATAAAGAATATGAGGCTTTACTGTATCTGGAAATAGCCAATGCTTATTTGCAATATCATCGTGGCGAAAAATGTAAAGAAGTTTTAGATCAACTCTGTGATCATCTTAAAGTTCAACTAAATGTTGAGGGTATACTAGGAGTACGCACAAAATTCCAGCAAAAACCTCTACCACAACTTTGTCTAAAGGTGGAACAATTAGAAGATCAACAATTGCCGGCCGCTAAACAAACCAATGGCCAAACTGAAATACCCAAACTTTTGCTTTTAGAAGATGATACTCGTCTAGAGAGAATACGTTTTATAGAGGAAAAGGATAATGAGGTAATGACCATACCCAGTGTTTTGCAGGCTTTGGTGCTGACAAAAGTGTAAGTGGAAAAAATACATAAAAAAATCACCTTTTTAATTGCTACTTTTGCAGGCGCCAATTGAAGCGTTCTCAACCCAAAGATCGTTTGGCTGATGAGGAATTGGAACCTTATACACAAACCTTATTATACCAAGAACACGGACCTTTGCAAGTTCGGCAGTCAGCTTTGCTTCTTAATTGTGTTCAGGAGTCAAATCATAGACGTACCGTAGAGCGCAGTTGGAAACAATGTGAGGAGGCGGTTAAACTTCTTTCAGAACATAACTTCAGTGTCAAAGAACGCTTTTCCTATGCCTTTGCCGCCTTCCTACAACCCAAATGGCAGGTGCAATCCCAGTTATGTGAACTTTTACTATCCTTGGGCATGACTAAAACCGCCTTAGATATTTATCTAAAAATACAAAACTGGGAACAAGTTATCTATTGCTATACCCGTCTAGAATTGCGTCATAAGGCTGCGGAAATTATACAACAGGAGTTAGAGAAAAAACCTACCGTCTTGCTCTACTGTTTGCTGGGTGATGCCACCGATAACCCCGATTGCTATGAAACAGCCTGGGAGTTTTCCAAACATACCAGTGGTAAGGCTAAAGCCTATTGGGGCAACTATTTCTTTGCCCATAAGAAATATGAGGAAGCCATACCACACTATGAAAAATCGGTGGAAATTAATTCATTGCAAGAAAAGATTTGGCTGCGTTTAGGTTATGCTGCCATCATGCTGGAGAAATGGCAGCTGGCTGTTCATGCCTATATAACCTATACACATTTAGAACCTTTAGGCTTTGAATCGTGGAACAATTTGGCCAAGGCTTTAATAAAACTAGGAGACAAGCAAAGAGCCCATAAAGTATTAGCAGAGTCTTTAAAATGCAATTATACCAATTGGAAAGTATGGGAAAACTTTATGGTGGTCTCTGTGGATACTGGTCACTTTGAAGATGCCATGAATGCCTACAATAGACTATCGGAATTGAAAACTCATTATTTGGATTTGGAAGTTTTGTGTGTAACCATGACTGCCATAGCTGAAGGCAAACCAGATGCCAAGGGTCAAACCCCCGAACGTTTGTTGAAAAAAGCTACCAATTTAATGGGTCACCAGTGCATTAAACATGGCTCAGAGCCTAAAGTATGGGAATTGGCAGCTCTATTGGCTCCAACTCCTCTTAAGAAGGGTGAGAAATTAGTTAAAGCTTTTAGATCCTATACCGCCAAGGAATTAGTTTGGGCTACCAAACAACCTTTTGCCCAAAAGGCATTGGAGCTGTGTGAGGAATTAAGTCAAAGATCCTTGGAGGCCATTAATAATCACACAGAAGATGAAAGTGAGGTAATGATTACTTCGCAATTAAATTCAGCACGTTTGGCAGATCAGGCCTGTATAAGAGCCATAGAAAAGGAACCTATACAGTTTCCAGAGAATGAGGAACTTTTGAAAAAAGTTAAAGCTTTGCTGGAGGAAATGACCACGCATGTAAAACAAAGAATGGGAGCATAAAAGTAAACAATTAGTTTTTTGTGATAAGTGCAAATAAAAAGAAGTTTTATAAAAAGCTATTTTTAATAGATTTCTTTCTTAGGAGTTACTTTGTAAGTAACGAGTAAGCTTTCGAAATACAATTTCAGACACATTTGTTTTTATATCTAAATAGGGAGTAGGATCCTTCTTTATTTAACCAACAATCCATTTTTATACTCAATAAACAATATTAACTAATTTTAATATAAATTAAGTTTTGTGGTCACTAACACTCTAACACTTTGATCAAATGCACCGCATACCGCTAAGCCCATTTTATCAGGATGCCAATCAAAACAATGGACCGGTTGTGTGGACAAAGTAGAAGCATGTAGCATATGTAGAGAACCCGCAACACCCTCACTATAACCATCTGTTCCTTCTTTACTTCTTTTCTCAGGATATTCATAATTCCATAAACGCAAAGAACCCGTGCCGCCACAGGTCACAAATATATCACGATTTTGTGGTAAATGCTTGGCACACCACACGGTGGCCTTGGGTCCGGTAATAACACCATTTGAACCCACCGATCTACCAGCATTACGTTCCTCTAGACATGTAAAGCCTTTAGAAGGGTGTTGAGTCCTCATGTCGTACACTAATAGGCCTCCTTCTAATGTGGTCACTACCATTTTGTTCATGGGTATATCTTTACGATCGAATTCTATGCCACAGATGCCATTTTTAAGGGATGTCTCCCATCTTACGGACAGCTGACGTAAGTCGAATAGTTTCAGGTCTCCATTGTCATAGCCGGCGGCTACACATCTTTCCTCATTGTTGTAGCTATCGCCTATGGCCACAGCCCAGCAGTCACGTTTAGGGATTTAAGGAATTTGAATCTCCGGTAGATGTCTCAGGAGTCATATCCACTACGGGATGCCTTGTCCCTGTCTAATATCCCATACTTTAACCGAACCATCACGACTACCCGTCACTATCTCCGGAGCACCACAGTCCATTTGCTTGCCACCCAAAGCATCTATGCAGTTAATAATAGAGGAATGAGCCTCTACATTATAGACCGGAATCTCGGGACGCTCTAAATCTCTAATGGAAGATTAGTATAAGTTTTTGTGTTATTATATAGTTGTTTAATAAAACTTACAGAACCTGCAATCTGCCTTGAAAATCACCTATGGCCAGGTGTCTGTTTCTTAGAGAAGAGCCCCAAAGGAACCACATTTAAAGGCTGATTTTTTCTCTATCGACTTCACTTTATCCATTTTGTTCTCATTTAACTCGTATATCTCCAATATACCCTGACTATTGGGCTTGGAACCCAAAACCACAAATTTGGCCGAACAAGGTATCCATTTGGTGTCATAGACGGTGTAATTTACCGCCTGGTGAAGATGTTCTATCATTTGAGGTTTGTCCATGTTGTGTGATAGATTTTAGTAATTTCCTTTTTTATTATTGGATCTTATTTGTTAGGATTTTTCTGGAATTTTGTTTGAAATTGTTATTTATTTACCGGTTGCTAAGATATTTCCTAGCAGGTGCATGATGTTTACAAATAATAATAAAAATTGACAAACAGCTGTCATTATAGAGCTGCCACTTTGTTAGATGTTAGAGCTGCCTTATTATTTTGTAGTTTAATAATTTGCATTAACATTTTTTTAAATTTGCAAGGAAATGTGTAATTTGTTGTTAGATTATGTTTAATTAAGAGTTTTTGTTTATTTTTTATAATTTTGTTTAATTTTTAAGATTTTTATTTATTAATTTGTTATTTTGTTTTAGTTTTTATTAGTAAAGAAACACCCTGTGTTTTGTTCGGTGTCATGCTGCCATTTGTTTAGGTTTATGATATGGCAGCTTTATTTTATGTGTCTCTCTCTGACGTTTTTGTTGTTTTTTCGCTTACTTTTTGAACAGCTGTAAAATTGACAGTATTTTTTTAGTGTTTGCAAAGTGAAAACGGAAATGAATTAAACGCAAAAAATTTACTGAATAAAATTAATTAAATTAAATGTAGGTTTTAAGAAAATTTCATAAAAAATATACGAAATTGTTTATTTAACGTGTTTAAACTGGAAAAAAGTGCTTTGAAATGAGAAATATTTGGGGAAAATTTTGAAGCTAAAAGAGGATTTCAGGAATTTGTTAAAACTTGTGTATTTTTTGTGAAAATTGTTATAAAATCGTTTAGTTTTTGAAGGTTTAGTTATAAGTAAATGGTCGCTAATGCTTCCGTTAGTGGGAATCAACTAATATCTATGTAAGAAGGCACTATGTGTGGCACACAGCAACTGGCCATTAAACAAATACAATGCGCGCGGTTAAGGGTTTTTTATTAAACAGTTTTTTGTTGTTGTTGTTGTGTTACAATAATAAACTCCTCTTTAGTTAAAAAATCCCCCTCCAACTTTAATAAAAAAACAATTTGGATAAATTTATTAAAGAAAGAGTAGAGTAAGAGGGCCACTTGGAGTTTTTTTAGTGAGGCATTCGCGTGTTTCAACTAATTCGTCATTTAAACTATAATTATCTATAAAAAAGTAAAAAACAACAACATTTTATAATAAAAAAACAAAAAATTTCCCAAAATTAAGACAAACGTTAGTGGAATATTAAATTATTTTGTTAAATATTTCGTTTTTGAAAACGTTTTTATATAAATTAATGAAATTTTAAAATTCTTGTTAGTTATTTTAACAAGAAAATTATTATAAAACCTCTTTTTAGTAAAAAAAAATTAAGTGATTTTCTTTTAAATTTCATGTTCGATTTTTTTGTTTGGTGCTGCTGTACTAAAAAAAAACAAAATAAATTGGCAACAGGCAGGCAAGCGGAGATAACAAAAACAACTAATTACCTCTCTCTCTCTCACTCTCCCCCACAACGTCCATCAACCTAGCAAAAATCTATTTATTAAAACAACAACAAATTAAAACAAAAAGTAAAAACAAAACTAAATAAAAAAGCAAACTCATCATCACCATCGAAGCAATAAGAAATATATAATAATAACAACAACAACAAAAATTATATACTAATAAAAAAGTATATAGATTTTTTGAAAAAAAAAACTGTGATAGCTAATAACAACAACAACAAAAACAACAATATTTAACTAAAAACTACTACTACTCTTTTTTAGAGTTACTCACACTCAACCACAGCAACTTTACTACATATTTTGTGTTAAATTACAGAAAAAAAGGTAACATTGAAATGTTTAATTTATTATTTAATTGGTCAATTTTTATTTCCAGTTTTATTTGAGGTTTATTTTTTTACATAATCATATACATATTAAAATAACATTAAGGGGATATAACCAAAAGGTAGAAATTTTTATAAAATTTTGAATATTTTGTTAAACCCGCTAGAAATTTTTGTTCGGAAAATGTAGTAAACTTAAAGCTAAACTTATTCAGCTAAAGAAATTTCGAAAAATTATCTTCTATAACTAATTCAGCTAGAAATTTTTATAAAAAACTCAACAAATTTACAATTTAGCTAAGCTTTATACAAGATAACATTAAGTAAAACAAATTCAGCTAAAGAAATTTGTAAAATTTTAGCTGAAAACACAATTCAGCTAAGTAAATCTGTAAAAAATTAACATTTTCACAATTCAGCTAACTTAATTCAAAGTAAATCTAAAGTTTTACCTATTCAGCTAAAGAAATTTCAACAAATTTTCTTATATTACTAATTCAGCTAGATATTTTTATTAAAAACTCAAAAAATTTACAATTCAGCTAAGCGTTATGCAAGATAACATTAAGTAAAACAAATTCAGCTAAAGAAATTTATAAAATTTTAGCTGAAAACACAATTCAGCTAAGTAAATCTGTAAAAAATTAACATTTTCACAATTCAGCTAACTTAAAATAAAGTAAATCTGAAAATGATCCTATTCAGCTAAAGAAATTCTGAAAAATTATTTTCTATAACTAATTCAGCTAGATATTTTTTATTAAAAACTCCAAAATTTTACAATTCAGCTAAGCGAAATTAAAGATAACATTCAATAAATCAAATTCAGCTAAACAAATTTGTAAAATTTTACCTTAAAACCTAATTCAGCTAAGTAAATTTGTTTAAAACTAAAAAACTTCATAATTCAGCTAACTTAAAACAAAGTTAATCTAAAATTTCACCTATTCAGCTAAAAAAAACGCAAGAAAATTTTCTCTAAACTAATTCAGCTAGATATTTTTATTAAAAACACAAAAAATTTACAATTCAGCTAAGCGAAATTAAAGATAACATTAAATTTATAATAAATAGCTAAAAAATTTAAATTCAGCTAGCTTTTAATGCTATTCAGCTAAGTAAATTTAATGAAATAATAATAATTATGAAGTTTTTTTAACTAAAATCTCAATTCAGCTGGACTATTTTGCTATTCAGCTAGGTAAATTTAATTAAAATATTTAAATAATGTAATTTTTGTGATAAAAACTCAATTCAGCTGGGCTATTTTGTTATTCAGCTAAGTCAATTTAAAGAAAATCTATAGAAATTTTAGTTTATATTAAAAAAATTCAATTCAGCTAGCTCTTAATGCTATTCAGCTAAGTAAATTTTATAAAATATTAATAATTATAAAGTTTTTTAACTAAAATCTCAATTCAGCTGGATTATTTTGCTATTCAGCTAAGTAAATTTAACGAAAATTTATAAATAATGTAATTTTTGTGATAAAAACTCAATTCAGCTGGGCTATTTTGTTATTCAGCTAAGTCAATTTAAAGAAAATCTATAGAAATTTTAGTTTAGCTTAAAAAATTCAATTCAGCTAGCTTATAATGCTATTCAGCTGATTATATTTAAAGAAATTTTCAAAATATTTTTAATTATTAGTTAAATTCTCAATTCAGCTAAGGGTTTATGCTATTCAGCTAAGTATATGTAATAAAAATCATAAAAATAGTTGATTAAAGCTTGAAAATATTTCATTCAGCTAACTGTTTTTACTATTCAGCTGAGTAAATTTAAAGAAAATATGGAAAATAAGTTATTTTTTAATTAAAATCCAAATTCAGCTAAGTTTTTTGCTATTCAGCTAAGTTAATTTCAATAAAATGTATAGAATTTTCTATTCAGCTAACGTTTAATTTTATTCAGCTAAGTAAATTTTCTGGAAATGGTAAAAATTTAGCTTGAAATGCCAATTCAGCTAAGGTTTTTTGCTATTCAGCTGCTTAAATTTCTTGAAAAAATGTAAAGAATTGATTTTAACTTCGTTATAAACAATACATTTAACGTTTAATGCTATTCAGCTAAGTAAAATTGACAGTTACAACAAGATAAATGTTATTCAGCTAAGTTTTTCTTTTGCCTTTTTCGTTGATATTTATAGTTTTTATACTATTTTTTAACCAATTTTTCTACTTCCCCTGTAGAACTATGATTTTTAGCATATGTCTGCCAAAAAAACACTTTTAGTTTTATTTTTACTTTTATTTTCTTCGATCTGAAATATGTATGTATATAATCTCGGCTAAAGGTCATTGTAACGTATGACAAATAACCAAGAGAACAGCAAGGTGTCTTGTGACGCCTGTTTGTTGTTTTTTTTCCTGGTGTTGAGAATGTTACAAAACACCTGTTTGTTAAAATTCTTTATTTTTCACTTCTGTGTTTTAGTGGGCTTTTTATAAATTTTTAATTTAATAAAATAAAAAATTTATTTTTAAATAAATTATTTTATTTAACAAAAAAATTATTTATTTATGTATTTTACTTGCTGTTGACTAATTTGAATATTTCATTATTTATTCTTGTTATTTTTTCCTATTTTAATTATATACCATTGAATTTGCATGTTTCAATAGCGAGTGCAGGTGTACTTTTATTAAGCAATTGTTTTTGTTTTGATTTTTGTTTATATTTTCTACAAAGCTCAAAGTACTTTTTTCGTCATTAACTCCTACTCTTGTTATTTGTTACTGAAAACCTTCAGCCAACTACCTTTCCCTCCCCCTCTCTACCTCTTCTGTTTACAATGGCGTCTAAAACAATTACATTGTTATTAAAAACAACAATAATGTGTTTAATGTTTTGTAGTTGTTATTATTGCACTGTTGTTGCATTTAAATGTCTTTTTTAAGAAATTAATGTAACATGTTTTCATTTAATGGAGGTGTGTGTGTAATTGAGATAGTTGTTAGTCATCAAAAAGTGATTTAGAAGTGTTTAATGGATAAGACGTGTTTTGGTTTTAATAAAGAAATTAAAGAGGTTTTTAATAGAAAATTAATGCAGTAAATTGTCAAGTAATGTTCTTTATTAACTAAATACGCAATTAAGCTTAAGAAAACTCAATTCAGCTAAATAAATTATTAAGTAACTATAAAATAATGAACTAAATAAGCAATTAAGCTTAAGAAAAAACAATTCAGCTAGCTGAATATGTTATTCAGCTAAGTTATCCTTAGGAAAATTGTAAAATAATGTTATTTATACCATAAAAACTCTATTCAGCTAAATAATTTTGCTATTCAGCTAACAAAACGTTACAGAAATTCCTAAATAATGTTATCTATTATCTAAATATACATTTTAACTCAAAAAAACTCAATTCAGCTAGCTGAATAAGTTATTCAGCTAAGTAAATTGTTTAATAATTGTAAAATATTGCTATTTATTAGCTAAAAATGCAATTCAGCTGAGTAGTTTTGCTATTCAGCAAAGAAAATTTCCTAAAAAATAAATAATTTTTGAAATGCTCTTAATAAAATACAATTCAGCTAGCTAAAATTGCTATTCAGTTAATAAAATTCTACTCAAATGGCAAAATTATATTATTTATTAACTAAATACCAATTTTAATACAAGAAAAAATCAATTCAGCTAGCTGAATATGTTATTCAGCTAAGAAAATTATACAAAATTCGTAAAATGATGTTAATTATACATAAAAAACCTAATTCAGCTAAGTAATTTTGCTATTCAGCTTAGAAAATTACAATTCAGCTAAGTAGATTTCTTGAAATATAACTGTATATTAAGTTTTGCACTCACTAAATTCAATTCAGCTGGCTTTTATTGCTATTCAGCTAAGTAAATTTTATCAAAATAGTAAAATAAAGTAATTTACTACATACAAATTCTATTCAGCTGCATTTTTTGGTAATTCAGCTAACTTTTTTTGCAATTCAGCAGAGTCAACTTTAGCTAAATAAGATAATTGTGTTATTTATGAGTTAAAAACCTAATTCAGCTAAAGTATTTTGCTATTCAGCTAAGGAAATTTAGTTAATTACTAAATTTTTCACTTTCAACTCAATAATAATTTGTTGCCAAGTTTTGGAATTTCAATTAAAGATAAGGAAAAACAGGTGTTTTGAAGTCTATAAAGATTATTTTAAAAAATTCATAAATTAAGCTATATAAAGCTAAAAGGAAAATTTCCTAAAGAATTGATGTAATAAAACATTAAACTGCAAATGATCTTTCATTAAACTCCTCCAAACGCTTTTGTTATACATAACTCTTTTAAGGTATAAAGTTCATGAACTTTGTTCTAGTTATAAGCTAATTTTTGTTTGTAATTGCTTATTATATTTAATTTCAATTCAAAATAAAACTCTAGTCATTTTCCGCTTATAGTTTAAAACAAATATTATCTGTGTAAATTATTGTTAATAACATGTTAATGACTGCTATTACATTTTAATTTGTAATCATTTATCATATTTTTGTTTAATAACTGCTATAAAATTTTTATTTTAAATTAAACAATTGTTAAGAGTTTAGTAAATTTTTCTGGTTTATGACTAGTAAAGTAAATAAAACGGTAAAAGTTTGCATAAAAACTAAAAATGCATCAAGAGTTATAAAAAAGCAAAGATAAGTTTATAATACACTACAGCGAAATTGCATAAAAGAAAAATAAAAAACCTTAAGATTTAATTTAGCGGAAAATGCTTTAAAAAAAACTAATTCAGCTAACTTTTTTCACTATTCAGCTGAGTAATTTTTTTGTAAAAGTTTAAAATAATGTTTATTATTGGTTAAAAACTCTATTCAGCTAGCTTTAAACCCAATTCAGCTAAGCAAATTTCTTAAATATAAGAAAAAATCTATATAATCTTAAA